AAAAAGGTACCGTAAGGTATCTCAACCACAAAGGGTCACGTGTAGTCACACAGCAAGGGACTGTATAATATTCTTAAATCCGGCACATCACACGTCAACACGTTAAAAGCGCGACGCGTTCTGCAACCCCACGAATCAGAACTCGAAACCCGAATGGGCTACAGCCTTGGCCAAGTATGCACACCACAAGACACAATGCTCAACAACACATGATAATATACGCCTTGGGGCTGAACCATGCATCAGCATAGTTGTAATGATTCGTAGTGTTTTTGATATTGGAGTCCTATTATGTTGAACCGATGGAGGCTTCATGGCTAACAATTGCGAGAAGCAAACCGAAACCCTATCACAACTTGTGTAGTATTGATGAGAAGTAAAAAGAACTGGCGTGCTAAAGAGAAGAATACGATATCAAGAGTAGTAGAAAACTTGTTCTTCATATTCAAAACACCAACTTGTAAAACGATCACTGTATGTAGGCCAATTGAAGCTGTCAGACAATTCGGAGGTCCCGGTCATTGTATAATACAACGCATTTTTTAATCGTAATAGTTTGTACTGACATTTACCTATATACAGCGTCAGGTGTGAAATCATTCCTTCGCTCCCCCCTCGAGGCGTGGCGACAGGTTGAACTCTCTGAGTCTGCCTCGTCTGACCTGGTATTCAAAGACTATTTCCATAATGAGGCGAGGATTCCACATCATGGCTATATTATACTAGCAGGCAAGTCGCGTTTTGCGGTACCGTTAAGTCCATTCAATACTTTTCATGTTAGCTTATGCGGACTAAACTTTTCTCCCTGTACTTCTGGCATGCACTCACCCTCTGATGAGAAGTATTGATGAGCGTTGGCAACCAAATACTACTCGAGCGTGCTCTTCATGGTGTTGGAGCATCTCAACGATCGTTGTACAACTGCGTTAACGCTGGCATTGACAATGCAAGCAAACACGTATCTGTAAGTTCCAGCATAGGTGTTCTGGTTTGTCAGAAGCCCCAATAAAGACTTGAGATATCGAGGCGTAAATATCACAATGCAGTTGATATCAACACTGTGTATCTTGAACCATGACACTCTGACTCCCCTCATGAAGGTGAAATCATGACGCCTGCAAAGCGAGACACATGCATTTGGCAGAACTCTGTGTGTAGGATGGGCACATAGTAATTCGCATAGTCAGAGTAGGTCATAACATTGCTCCCACCTGGATGCGTCAGTACCCAATTAAGGATACTTTAACACCGCCCAATTGATTTGGTGATTCGATATGAGCAAAAGAAGCAACGATGTCATCCACAACGCCCCGCATGGCCTTGTTGGTACCCTAAGATCCCGATCTCATCTTGGAAGGCGCTCAAATATTTGACAGAAAGTGTGCTTTGAACTTCTTGTTGGCGCGATCTGCTGCCCTCAACATCATTTGATCTCCGAGAACCTCGCAAGCAAACTTTTTGTTTGAGCCGCTCTCGCTATTGGAAGCTCCACCATCAATCGTTATTTCGACTCGAAAAATAGTGCCTTCCTTAGGGACAACTTTCACTCCTCTTTTCTTGGTTATAATCTCGAAGACAAACTTGCGATCGCGGACGACAACACCTTGAATGCCGACTCGACTCGGACAATGGCTTCGAACAACTTGAATAGGAGCACCATGAAACTCAGCGCTGGCTAGTTTCGCTGCTGCACTAGGCCCTCCAGTCGAAAGATCGTTTCCAAGTAGCTCTCGAGCATATCCAAGCCACAGTTGGCTCAGAGGCTCATAAATGTGGTATTTTTGACCATCCTTAGGTATGTCATGAAGGCCCAAGCTTCGCTTCTCTCGAGAAGAGAGTGGCTTGGGTCTCTGCTTTTGCTTTCCCTTTTTATCTTGGCGGGCCTTTCGACGTGCGGCGCGTGCGTTGATTGTGGAAGGTGGAGGAGAGGTTGGTCGCAGGATGAGCGAGCGATGCTGGATCTTTTCCGAGTATATACGATTCACACTGTCGGGAGAATGCGCTCTGGCCAGCAGATTCTGCGTAGCCTGTTGTGATGCGCTGGCCATGGTTGATGGATGATGCCAATAGCTCACTTGTTGTGCATGTTGCGTCGAAAATTAGCAACCTAGAAAAAAGTGTTGGGCGGAAATATACCGCGATTCCGAGCTTCGTACAGGCAATTTTCTGGGGAAATGAACGGTCCAAGCTCCTTCCCCTTCCTTCACATGCCGCTCGGCAGAGTCAAATGACGCCTGCCCCACCTGGCCAATCCCGTCCTGTCGCAACTTGGATCTTCCATCAAGGATACCTTACTTGTCATAGTAACGAGCTGCAGTGCAATCAATGCTCTTGGAATCTGTATCATAATAGCCGAAGCTGCCTCGGACAGTGACGTGACTCTGTCACTTCTTTGCGATGAGAAAGAACGGTTGATTGTCAATTACTCGCGCTCTACTCAAGAAGCTTAGCCTTCCCCAAGCAAGCATCAGCCATGTCGCATAACGAAGACCCGGTCGATTCGTCGACCAATTCGGCGCCAGACCTTCAGATCTTGGGTGATGAAGTCACTCTTCAGCCCAGTGGCTTTGTTGAGTCGCCATCCAAGAATATTCCCGAGGGAAAGGAGGAGGCTTTGATGGACAAGTTTGCTTCATTCCGCTCTGAACCTTTCCAGTAACGTGCCCTTTCTCATCGTCACCTGGCCGATTCTCGCACAGATTGACCCTCCTCAAACATGTCGACACAAACTGACAAAGCTTACTTCCAGATTCCTTCGCGAAGTGTCATTATATGTATCTGGTCAAGGATGGCGAGCTTACGATCGTGTCATTGGCCAGCCGGTCTTCTACTCCGGGTTCTCGGAAAATATGAAGAACATGGTTCTCTCAGCTCCTCTTCTTCAGCAAAGAATCAGCCGGCTTGCTGAGCACCGTGTGGCTGTCGAAGAACGCGAGGGTATGCTGCCGAGGGACAGCAAAGACTATGGCGCCAAACGTGCCCATCGACTTACTGAGATTGAGTCAGGTCTTCAAGAATTGGCGGAGAAGTGGACTGACGATATGATATGCAAGATGGAAAGCAAAGCGTTTATCCGTGGGGCCTACTATCTGACCACCCAGCTATTAACGCGCGCATATCATCAAGGTATCCATGTTTCCAGCGAGGAGGTTTTGCGCCTGCGGAAGGTGGCGGAGGTCGCAGCCAAGAAGAAACAGAGCATCATCTTCTTACCAAGCCATCGGTCGCACGTCGATTACGTCTCGCTGCAGCTCATCTGCTACCGCTTAGGCCTGACATTACCTGTCGTGGTCGCAGGAGATAACTTGAACATCCCAGTGTTGGGCGAATTCCTTCAGCATGCGGGAGCCATGTGGATTCGAAGGGCGTTTGGTGATGATGTCCTCTACACCACGTTAGTCCAATCATATATCGACACACTTCTCCAAGAAGGCTATAATTTTGAGTGCTTTATTGAGGGTGGACGCTCCCGTACAGGGAAGCTGCTACCTCCAAAGTTTGGAATTCTTAGTTTTGTACTCGATAGTATTTTATCGGGGCGTGTTAAGGATGCTATCATATGCCCTGTCAGCACGCAATACGATAAAGTTATTGAGACGGAGGGTTATGTCACCGAGCTACTTGGAATGCCCAAAAAGAAGGAGAACCTTGCTGACTTTCTGAGCGGTGGATCATCCGTCCTATCTTTACGCTTGGGTCGCGTAGATGTCAGGTTTCATGAGCCTTGGAGCTTACGAAAATTCTTGGATGACCAGTTATCAAAACTACCCAGCGTACCGCGCGGTCTCGATACTGACCATCAACGTCCAGAAGTCCGAGCAGTACGAGAGAAACTTTTACGCACGATGGGCTATCAGGTTCTGAGCGACATCAACGAAGTGTCTGTCGTGATGCCTACAGCGCTGATAGGGACTGTTCTTCTGACACTCCGTGGTCGCGGAGTTGGCAAGGAAGAATTAAAACGGCGAGTTACATGGCTCACAGAACGTGTACGCGCAAAAGGTGGGCGCGTGGCCCATTTTGGCAATGCACCTCTTACCGAAATCATCGAACGCGGTCTTGAGGTACTCGGCAAAGATCTCGTTGGCGTGGTAGAGGGTCTTGCTGAGCCTACATACTATGCTGTTGACCGCTTCCAGTTGTCGTTTTATCGCAACATGACGATCCATCTCTTCATTTACGAGGCGCTCGTTAGTGCAGCAATGTACTCGAGAGTTAAGAGGGGAGGTGGACCTCAAATGCAAGACATGCCGTTTGACGAGCTGAAAGAACAAGTATACTTTCTTTCGTCGTTGTTCCGCGGCGAGTTCATCTTTTCTAGTGAGGGCCTTGACACCAATCTGGATCGGACTCTGCGAGGCTTGGAGACGGACAACGTTATTCGGATTGACCGCGACGCAGAGGGCAACGTCACCATGGTTGGCCTTGCGGACCAGGAGAGAAGGGCCGGAAGAGAGAACTATGACTTTTACTGCTTCCTTATATGGCCTTTCATTGAGGCCACTTGGTTGGCAGCAGTATCTCTTATGGGGCTTACTCCCCCCCTTGGCCAAAATGGGGAGATCTGGATTGAGCAAGGCAAAACACACAACAGCGCACAGTTGGTAAGTCTCCATATACGGGTTTCATTAGTTTATGCAGTCGTGTTCCCTATCAGTTCATTATGCTCACAAGATATCTAGCTCGGCAAGACACTTTATCATCAGGGTGATCTCTCATATTTTGAAGCTGTCAATAAGGAAACTCTGAAGAACTCGTATACACGCTTCGAACAAGACCAACTTCTCCACGTTGTTAAATCAAAGGACTCCAAAATTCCTCCGCGTGTGCAGCTCGACGCCTCCTGGCGAACACCTCGCGATCCTAAGACTGGCGCTCTCCTGGCAGAAGGTAAACTTTGGGACTTTACCGAGAAGATTGCCAAGTCACGACGTGAAGGCAAGAACCGTCGTGATGGTGCCACAGTTAGCAGCCGTGTGCTCCGACTTACCGACGAGCTCGGCCGTAAACTTTGGGAGGAAACGGTGGAAGGTGAGCGCAGCGGAAAAGGCAAAGTCCCCAGTAGATTAAACAATGAAGAGAAGGAAGCTTTCGGCAAGAGTATAAGGCAGGTTAAGAAGAAGAGGGAGGAGAGGGCTCGGGCTCATCTTTAAGCAATGGGAGCCCTGTACAGCATATCTTCGAAGGGTCGTCCCCGATCCGCCTTTTGGAGGTACAGCAACACATTTGGCAACTGATAAGAATTTATACATATATATCCAGCCAATACAATAGCATGCTTCCCATCTAGCCCAATGTTATCAGCTCGCTTTTTTTGAACAGTGGAGGTCTGTTCGGGTATACTTTTTGGGTTTCATTTCTCATACTACCAGCGTCTATGAATTTCTTGGCTCTTGCGGCTTGAGGATGATATTGTCTATCAAACGTACCGCTGGACCTCCACTGAAGCCCAGATCCTCGCCTTTTTGAGCCTTCTCCACTGGCAACATCTTGATCGCAGCGCTCATGACAGCTCCGCGCGATGGATCAACCTCATCGATTTCCACTAATGTTTCTGGATCTGCCAGAGATATGTAGTCGACCTCAAAGAGCACACGTTCTGTGGGAGGAAGCGTGGATTGGCCGGCTGCCATAGCATTGATAAAATGGTGTGCAGCGCCAAGAATATCTTCTCTCTTGCGCGAAGTCTTAGTGTTGTATACATCGGCGGCGGTAAATAGTGCTTGGGGAAGCACTGTAGCGACAGTTCTTCGTCTTGGTCCAAGATACACATTCCGAGAACTTAAAGCAAGGCCATCGAGTTCGCGTTGTGTGGGTTCAACGATAACCTCCATGGGCAGGATGAAATCCTTAACCATTCGACGGATGACAACTGTTTGTTGGACGTCCTTTTGGCCAAAGTACACACGCTCGGGCTGGACAATGTTGAATAGCTTTAAGCACACTGTCGCAACACCTCGGAAGAATGTTGGTCTGCTGGCACCCTCCAATACTTCTCCAACGGGCGTAATGGTAACAAAGCTTCCTTTACTATCAACTTCCTGGCCTGGAAAGCCGCTGGGGTATATCTCTGGTGTCGTTGGCGCAAACACAGCAGAGATGCGACCTAAGTTTCCTCCATCATCTGCAAGTTCTCTATCCAGCGCGGCCAGCTTCTTTGCGTCTTCATCCCAGGTTACGGGATATGATGATAGATCTTCTTTTATTCCGAACTGTGCCGGGTTGACATATATGCTCACGACAACGTGATGGTTCTCCTTGGCAGCGGCGCGGATCAACGACAGATGGCCCTCGTGCAGAGCACCCATAGTGGGCACGAGGCCGACCGATCGGTGATTAACGACATGAGGGTTACGCCAACGACGGACGGCTTCGACGGAACGGAGAACACGGATCGGAGACTTGGTCAGTGTCTCGAGGCGGGAGGAAGTCGAGCAAGAAGAAGCCGTACGGATGGAGGTCGCTAAGGGCGAGCGATGTCGGAGGAAGCGTAGAGGAAGCATTGTGTTGACAATTCGAAGATTTAAGAGGTAAGAAACATAGAAAGAAAAATATTTCAGTCAAGGCTGAAATATACCATGGTTAGTGGGCGCAGTCAACTCTCGTGATGGTTTCTGCCGCGGAGTTTTGAGGACGGTTTGAGACGGAATTCTTGGTGGAGTTGGAGATGGCAGGGGTATCTTTTTTGGAGTTTATTTTGGGGACATGTGAAAGACGCTTACCCTGTACCATCACTATTTGTGTAAGTGTAAATGCAAAGCGACATCAGCTACGTTAATGATGCTATCAATAGAGTTATTGAAGTCAAGTCCCACAAGTTTATTTGAGTTTAATACACTCAAGACTCTTAAAGGAAATGGCGATGGCTGGATGAATTATGAGTATCACTGGACATTTGAGATAGTCAATCGGAGGTTTCATCGCTTCTCCTGGCTTCCCAAACGAAGCTTCTTGAGAAATTGTTGTGTAAACATCGACAAGCAGTCTTGATATGTCTGGAAAAAACATGGTAGACGCAACATGAGGAACTGGCAGTTTAATATCGTGTTAATTGTAATACTGGATTTTGGAAATGGCTGATTAAAGGTAAGAAAAATATTATCTATATTATTGAGGCGAACTAAATCGGAGATTGTCTTAGCTCCAATCATAACCTAGACGCCGTTCTATGTGTTGAAATCCAGGGCTCAACCAGGGCATTCATTGCCCGTCGTGATCCGTAAAGTGGTCTTGCCAAGCTTATACCCATCCATACCCACAATTCTATCATATCAATGAAACTTGAAAGGGAAAAGAATCTTAAGCGGCACCACCAGTAAGGTTCTCAAGCTTAAGCTTCTTCCAGCGAGTGAGCAAGCTGATCAAGAATGAGAAGCCAGTAAAGGCAATAGCCATGGCAAAGACGATATGTAAGCCCTTCATATAACCATCAATGACAATGGGAAGTTCTTGAGAATCGAAGGATTCACGGAGAGCGGTAGCTCCAGTCAGAATCAATCGTCCTTTGCTGATTTGAGGAGCGTTCTCGCCAATATTAAGGAGCATCTGGTTGACAAAGGCAGCCTGCCCTGCGGAGACGATGTAGGCGCCGCCGAGACCCTGGAAGACTGTATAATGTTAGCTACTTGTTCTTGATGAACAGCGGGAAGGGGAACTTACATAGAAGAATACCGGTAGCAGAAGCAAGATCCTTGGGATCAACAGTACCCTGGACAGCAATCATGGGAATCTGGAAGGCAACACCCCAGCCGACACCAGCAATGATTTGGTAGCCAATCCACTTTCCAGTAGAAGTGTCAACGTCAAGGAGGTATAGCAGACCAGCACCAACAGTCGCAAGGGCGGCACCGCCTATGAGAAGAGGCTGGTAGAAGCCAGTAGCGGTAACAAGACCTCCACTGATGATAGTGGCAAAAGTGACTGCGAGAATAAGGGGCAAGTTACGAACACCACTGCTTGTAGGAGAAGCGTTGTGGACAGACTGGAAGTAGATGGGGATGTAGTAGATGGCGAGGAAGAAAGACCCAGCAAATATGAAAGCAAAGGCGCTCATGACCCAGACGGTGCGGTTCCTGAGGATGCGGACAGGAATCATGGATCGTTCACCCTGGACATAACAGGAGATGGCCCAGGCGACAGTGATGGCGACCCATCCAACAAGCAGACCGATAACAACGGATGAGTCCCAAGCGTGAGCTTGTCCACCGTACTGAACAGCGAGAATGTACGAGATAGTGAGGCCCATCATCAGAACAATTCCCAAGGGGTCCATCTGAAGGAACTTCTCTAGAAGAGGGGCCTTGACGGGGACAGCAGCACGGGGAGTCTTGAAGAACAAGAAGATGATGCCGGCAGAGACACCTCCGATAGGGAGGTTGATGTAGAAACACCATCGCCAAGAGACGTGATCAGTGAAGGCACCACCAAGGAGAGGACCGATGACACTGGCGATACCATAGGCGGCACCAATGATACCAGTGAAAGCAGGTCGCTTCTTAGGAGGAGCAGAGAAGCCGATGATGGTATAAGCGCCAGCACCCAGACCAGCACCGCCAACGCCTGCGATGGCTCGGCCAGTGATGAGGGCTTCGGCATTGGGAGCGGCACCGCAAATGACAGAACCAAGCTCGAAAATGAGGATGGCGACGATGAAGGATGTCTTCAGGGGGAAGTACTTGTAGATTTTACCCCCTTAGGGAATGTTAGCGACAGGCGAGGAAAAAAGGGGCTGAGGCTATGTGACTTACAAGTTGACTGGAAAGCACCGACAGTCATGAAGAAAGCAGCACCATACCATCCGACCTTGTCCAGACCCTTGAACTCATCAGTGATCTTGGGAATAGCAGTTGCCACGATAGTCTGTTGTACCGTCCATATTAGCTTTTTGAGCGTTGGCTAGGAACGGAGGCGTGACTTACCAAGTCAAGGGAGAAGAGAAAGACCGCCATGACAAGAGCAAGAACAATGAAGAACATGTTGATGCCGGTAGGATATTCATCTTCGTCAGGCTCATCACTGTCATTGTTACCTGAGACGGTGCCGGCTTCAACATCCTCATCCTGTTTCTCCTCCTTCTTCTCTTGAACATCCTCTCCTCGAAGTGTTGAAGTTGTAGACTCGGGGCGATCCGTGGTCGCAGGGACCTCGAGCTTTTTTGGTTCGGCAGACATGGTGTCTTATTTTCGTTTATCTATAACCTTGACTCTATAGATCGTGTTGGATTAAGCTTATATCGAGGTTTCTAACCCTGAGGAAAGTGGGTAGATATTGTATAAGTGCTCGAAAGCCGATCTCAATGCTCTGGAAGACTGACACATTTTGGATGACAGCGAGATACGACTATCTTTATAACCTACGAGAACAATGAGATAATCTCATCTCACTAATTGTCTGACTTTTCCTGGTCCCAGGAGTTAAGCTCATGGCCCTGCACAAAATCCGCCCCAAGCATAACGATATCGCATCGCAGCGCAGCACGTAGTATGGGCTGTCAGCATAACGGCCGGGCATAAGACAATGCAGCGACCAGTCAAGAGACGGCGGAGTGGCGGACTCCACCACATGTCCGCGCCTACACCCTCCATGATGATATCTCGTAAGCCCAATTGGGCTTGAATCAGCCAAGACTCCGACGCTAAGAATGAAACGCTCGCCAATACCTGCGGACATCTGAATGAGCCCTGATGACGGAGTCTTGCTCATACTCATTCTGTAGTGCACGATGTTTTAGCTTATGGAGCGTTTTTGTGCCGAAAATGAGCTGCAGGTTTGTGGCGCTGGTGGAATTTGAAACCATCTGTGACAATATTGGTCCGAAAAGGCGGATAAAAGATGCTGTTTCCAAATAAGCAATCTCAAAAGAGGATAGTTGTGATGATAGAGTCATCCCATGCCACGTGTTGTGGTTCTTTACTGTGATCAAATTCGGTGTAAGTCGATTTCTCGTCAAGGATCTGGGTTATCCGTCCTGATGGAATCGCTTACACGGAGACTTGGCCCGAAGTCAGATAACCTCACAGCGGTCCCGCATAACGCTTGGCATAATCTTGATGTTGAAACAACACCAGCTCAACACTGAGATAGAGAATCTTGCACGCACGTGAAGGTCAGATAATGTGAATTTGATGACTCACTTGACCGGGAAGCGAAGACATAAGTGCCTAATTAGCCAAATAAAACGTAATGAAACATCGCCAACCCAAGTCTACCAGCTAAGAAGCACAGCCAAGCTGGAATACGCGGAGCGTACAGTAAGATGAAGTCTGACGACCTTCGGTAGCCCCGGAGTTAAGACCCATAGGGTAAATATTCTGCATCAGGGACTGCAAAACACCAAGGGTCTCGGATTTAGCCCTCGTTTGTTGGCATCATCTTATCTCACCTGTCAGCATTCTCCTGGGAGAATCTTGCAATACCAGTCCTGTCAAAGAGCCTAAACACCCAACGACCCAGAGGCTAGAGGTGACGATCCTCTAGGAATTGGTCGCAGACCCTAGGCGTACCAAGAACAAGGTCAAGAATGATCACCCGCCTGTCACATCATTTGCGTGTCTCGTTTCTTATCCGCAGCCAAGTCCTCGGCGGTTCTTTGTTGTTGTAAGAAAAGGATGAACTGTCATTCCGCAATCATGTTCACGGACGAATGACGGACAATAGCGGACCAAAGCTGGCGGAGTTTGCAAGTGTCGATGCACTGATATGAGGCCATAACCAAGCGGCTCTGTTAGTATTGGAGGGCCAAGCTTTTCTGCTGACGAAGCGATAGAGGGGTTGATTGGAGATCATCTTGGAATTGACCCTAAGAGGGGTAGTTTCTGATAAATAAGCTCTCCAACGATCAGGATCTCATCTTACATGTCGGAGACTTTGATCGGAGACTTTGGATTCGATGATGATGGCGGCTAAAGTCGCTATTGGTAAGATGGTGTTGGAATCAACAAGATGAGGTGATATGTTAATACATCTTTCCGGAAGGGAATTTATCCTTCCAAGACAAACAGTATTTTCGATATCTTTCAAGACTGACGTGAAGATCCTCTTGATTAACATCCATGCCAGCTTCAACTTGACAGGCAGCCTTGTGGGGCATGATCCTCTTCGACTCGTCTGCTCAACATCTTGGCCACTATACCATATGTGGTCAGTTATGCGGTCCGGCAACGATGCCGGTCCATGAATTGGCGAGAAGATACTGTACGAACCGATATTCTCAGCAACAAATAGGATCTTTCGACGGATAGTTGGAATTGGTAGATTAAGGTAGTGAAGTAAGCCAGCCCTCAATCATCAGAGAAGCGCTTATAACATCCAGGCGCATCATGACCAGAGAGCTCACAACCAAGTCAATTGACTTCTCATAATCCCCAACCTCGGCAGCTGTTATCGATAAGAGCTGTCATGATCGCCAAGCTGGCTCGCCTCGCTTCGCTTCGTGTCTTTTTACCTGATCTGGGTAATGGTCCAACTAAACTCAATCAGTAAGGTCTAAGCGGTTTCATGACGTTGAACCACAGCTCCAATTGCCGGCCCCTCAATCCTCGGCCGGCGGCGTAACTGACCTTTACCGAAACGAGGCAAAGGACTGCACATTTCAAGAGCTTCTGAAGCTTATCAATTGCTCAAGAGAGCAATTCTTGAGGCCATTGACTGTGGGGAATGCAGGTGATACAGTTGAGATACAGATACATACTTAGCTAGACTCAAGTTGGAGGTTTTGGTTGGGTTGGATCCCGAGCTACCCCTCTCAAGCCTCCAGCCATGTCTCTGAGGAGCTATAAGAAGATGGGCGCTGCCCTTGCATCGAGACTTCCACAGG